ATGTAATGACTCCACTTCCTGGTTTAGATGAATTTTTTTCATGAAACACTGCATTTTTAAAAGTAGTTATTTTGGGCTGCCAGTGGTTCATGCCCGTAATCTCAATGCTTTGGGAGACTGAGGTGGGAATATCTCTTGAGGCTAGGAATTTGAGATTAGCCTGGGCAACATAGCAACACCCCATTTCTAAAAAAAATTTTTTTGTTAAATTAGCTGGCAAGCCTGCAAAACCTGGTGAAACCCTGTCTCTACAAAACAGTACAAAAATTAGCTGGATATGTTGATGCGCACCTGTAGTCCCAGCTACTGGAAGCTGAGGTTGGAGGATTGCTTGAGCCCGGGAGACGGAGGCTACAGTGAGCCTGCAATTTCACTGCACTCCAGCCTGGGCAGCAGAGTGAGACCCTGTCAAAATAATTAATTAATTAGTTTAAAATAAAACAAAAGATGAGCTGTGTGTGGTGGGGCACACCTGTGGTCACAGCTATAGGGGGTTGAAGCGGAAGAATTGGTTGAGTCCAGAAGTTCAAGGTTACAGTGAGCTGTGATTGTGCCATTGCACTCCAGCCTCGGTGATGGAGCAAGACCCTCTCTCTAGAAAATAAAACAAAATAAAAAAGAAAAAGTTGTTATTGGGGGGTATATATTTTATATTTTCTTTTTATTTGTAGTTGACATGTAATAATTGTATATATTAATGGCATACAGAATATTTTGTAACATGCATTCATTGTGTAATGAGCAAATCAGGGCAATTAGGATATCTACCACCTCAAACATGTATCATTTGGGTTGGACAAAAATATTCATGAAGGAGTACTGAGTACAAGTGTGTGTGCAGGTGGACAAAGCCTGAAGGGCAGGTTATGACAGAGGATTTTTTAATAAAGTCTTACATTGTGCAGTCTTTGTACCTGGACACCTTAGTGAATCTCCAAATTTAGGATACCACAATAGCATAAAAGCTACGGATTGGGACCTTCAGAAGCATGCTGAGACCTAGTTTACCAGTTTCAGGCCCTGTGTCCTCATGGAACTGTCTGCTATAGCCAGGATCAGATTCCTGTTCTTCAGAATGACATGTTCTGTAACCATGAGGAGGTACTCCAAATTGAAGGACTTCTGTAAAACAACTGACCTCTATTCTTCAAAAACCCCAGTTATGGCTGGGCGCAGTGGCTCATGCCTCAAATCCCAGCACTTTGGGATGCCTAGGTGGACTTACCACCTGAGGTCAGGAGTTCGAGACCAGTCTGCCCAACATGGAGAAACCCCATCTCTACTAAAAATACAAAAATTAGCCAGATGTGGTAGCATATGCTTGTAATCCCAGCTATTTGGGAGGTGGAGGCAGGAGAATCGCTTGAACCCGGGGGGCAAAGGTTGTGGTGAGCTGAGATCCCACTACTGTACTCCATCTAGCCTGGGTGACAGAGCAAGGCTCTGTTTGAAAAAAATGAAATAAAAGTCAGTTATAAAAGACAAAGGGCAGGGAACTTTTAAACATTTTTTGATTAAACAAGGCAACAGAGACATGACAATTAAATGCACCGTGATACTTAGATCTCGGATCTTGTAGTCTCATGGTTACAGGACATATAATTTTGAAGAGACAGATGTGATAAAGGGCATTATTGGGACAACCAAAAAATTTGAGTAAGGACAGTGTATTAAGTATTGTGTCAATGTTACATTTCCTGAGTTGCACACGCATACCGTGATTATGTAAGAGGCTGTTCGTGGGAGATGCCTACTGAAGTATTTAGGAGGACAGTGTCATACTGTCTGCAGCTTACTCTCTGTCTCAGTTTTTCTGTAAAAACTGTTGCATGTGCACACTCCTCGAATCACTTATAGACAGGTGGGAAGCTAAAACTGTGTGCTAGACATGGTTTTCCAGGGTGACAAGAGGGACTTCCTGGTCAATTCTGCAGGGGCAGCCCAAAGAAAGTCTTCATAGTTGCTGTGTTTAACCTGAGGGGGGATTGAGGCCAGTTTTAGAATAAGATTCAAGAAGAAAGTTTACCAGTGCATGTGACAGCTGTCAGTGTTGTGGTTGGAAAGTAGGGGTCATCCGGTGTTGTCCTGTAAAGGAAGGCTGAGAAGAAAGATAGCCTTGCATGCCATGCAAAGGTGTGTGAACTTCTTCCATAGACATGATAGGTCTGTTAGGATGCTGTCAGCTGCAGTTGCATTGAACTCCAGCTGAAATGGCTTAAATGATAACAAGTGTATTTTCTCACATAACATGAAGTTAGAAGGTGGGGAGGTACCAGGGTTGCATCACTCGGCAGTTCAGAGATGATCTCCGTACCCCAGGTGTTTGTGTTTTTGGCTGCAGCCATTCTTAGTGTGCGAGTGGTGTCTGCTCTCCTGGCTACAGGGTGTTTGTCACCCGCCCACGATGAGATCTAGTGAAGAAGAGGAAGAGATTTCTTTCTGAGCATCCCTACTATGAGGCTGGAACACCTTTACATGGTGGTCCTGGTTCAGCGTACCTTCAGATTCCCTTGGTTGAGATTGTGTTACCTGCAAAGGGGAACATGATCATGGTGGTTGGTTTATCTGGTTACTCTCCCTCCTGTGGCCAGAGAAGGTGTTGCCCTTCCTCAGAGGAACCTCCTAGGCAGCCACCTCAGATCATGTGGGTGTTGCCAGCAGCATGGGGTCAGGCATATTGGTTAAGCAGATATTACGGTCTGCCACCATGCAGAAAAAAGGCTTTAATTTTTTCTTGTCTTTTCTTTTTGAGCCTAGTTTTGCTCTCACTGCCCAGGCTGGAGTGCAATGGCACAATCTCGGCTCACTGCCACCTCTACCTCCTAGGTTAAAGTGATTCTCTTGCCTCAGCCTCCCGAGTAGCTGAGATTACAGGCATGCACCACCACGCCCAGCTAATTTTGTATTTTTAGGAGAGACAGGGTTTTTCCAGGTTGGTCAGGCTGGTCTCAAATTCCCAACCTCAGGTGATCTTTGCACCTTGGCCTCCCAAAGTGCTAGGATTCTAAGTGTGAGCCACTGCACCTAGCAGATTTTAGTTTTCTTTTCTTTCTTTCTTTCCTTCTTTTTTTTTAGAGGCAGAGATTTGCTCTTTCGTCCAGGCTGGAGTGAAGTGGTGCAGTCTCTGCTCACTGCAACCTCTGCCCCACCCCGCCAGGTTCAAGCAATTCTCCTGCCTCAGCCTCCTGAGTAGCTGGGATTACAGGCGCATGCCACCACACACAGCTAATTTTTGTATTTCTAGTAGAGACAGGGTTTTGCCATGTTAGCCACACTGGTCTCAAGATCCTGACCTCATGTGGTCTGCCCACTTGGCCTCCCAAAGTGCTGGGATTACTTTTTTTTTGGATGCTATGGATAATACTAAAATGAATATATTTCTACATACCTTTTCCTTTGCACGTACGTGAATAGCCTGACCGTCGTGGTTTAGAGTGTGTGGGAGATGAGAGGGTAGAGATGACATGTGTAGACCACGGTTCAGAGAAAAGTTACTTTGAAAGGGGCCAGAAAAAGGTTGTTCTAGTTCCCACTTGTTTCCTGATGGGGAAAGATGGTCTGTTTTGCTGAGTGTTCTGTCTCCCTTTGAGGTAGTGATCTGCCTGACTCCTTTGTCCGTTTATCCTCGGGACTCGGTGTACTTCTCATCTTCCTGTATGATTGGCATTTACCCCTTTCATAGAATTCAAATATGTTTTTAGGCTTTTACTGTCTTTTATTTTCAGCCCTTTGTAGTTTCTGTGTATGTCTTTATTAGCATTTCCCGCAGCTTCAGCACTTTCAGGAATCACTGATTTCATGTTGTGTTAAAGCCAGTTTTGTTGTTGTTGTTTTGGTATTTTAACTTTGAAGTAATGTAATTAAGATTGGGCATTACTCTCTCCAAATCGGTTACCTAAGTCAGTGCTCAGTTACTTCTTTGCACGCATAGATGCTTAAGAGTGTTTTAAAATTATAATTCATTGAATTTTGGGGCTGCTGCTTGTTTTATTTTACTTTATATATCTGCGTTTGCCCTCACACAACAGTATTTAATTATTGTTTTAGGATATGATACATCTAGTAGGGCTGTCCTTCTCATCTCTGTTTAACTTTCCTGTTTTCAGAATTTGAAGGATATTTTTTCTTTTCCCAAACAAACTTGCAAATCATTTTGACCTGACTCTTAAGACATGCTAGTGCTCCATGCTGAATGCCCAATCATTAGGTTAAGATAGTAGAAACAGGGCAGTTGGAGAGCTGTTAAGGTTGCTTAGTTTCTCATTTCCATTTCTGTTTAATTTCTAGATTTTGGATCATTGTTTGACTTGGAAAATGATCTTCCTGATGAGCTGATACCCAATGGAGGAGAATTAGGCCTTTTAACCAGTGGGAACCTTGTTCCAGATGCTGCTTCCAAACATAAACAACTGTCGGAGCTTCTACGAGGAGGCAGCAGCTCTAGTATCAACCCAGGAATAGGAAATGTGAGCGCCAGCAGCCCCGTGCAGCAGGGCCTGGGTGGCCAGGCTCAAGGGCAGCCGAACAGTGCGAACATGTCCAGCCTCGGTGCCATGGGCAAGAGTCCTCTGAGCCAGGGAGATTCTTCAGCCCCCAGCCTGCCAAAACAGGCAGCCAGCACCTCTGGGCCCACCCCCCCTGCCTCCCAGGCACTGAATCCTCAAGCACAAAAGCTGGCGACTAGCAGCCCTACCACGTCACAGACTGGACCTGGTATCTGCATGAATGCTAACTTTAACCAGACCCACCCAGGCCTCCTCAATAGTAACTCTGGCCATAGTTTAATGAATCAGGCTTCTCAAGGACAGGCGCAAGTCATGAATGGATCTCTTGGGGCTGCTGGTAGAGGAAGGGGAGCTGGAATGCCATACCCTACTCCAGCCATGCAGGGGGCCACGAGCAGCGTGCTGGCTGAGACCCTAACGCAGGTTTCCCCGCAAATGGCCGGCCACGCAGGACTGAACACCGCACAGGCAGGAGGCATGGCCAAGGTAAGTGAGCTGAAATGCTTTCAATACTTCCTACCTAACCGCAGGCTTTCCCTGCGAGTAAAGCGTAAAATGGGACCATGTGGCCCACTCCTCTTCCTTCTCTTGAGCTCTCCACGTGCCACTAATGCTTGGAAGAGACAGGTTTCTTTCTAGGATAGAGATCTCTGCCCCATTTCTGTCTTTAAAATGTGAATTCTTAAAGAAGTAGGATAGCTTGCAGGTCAGGCAATTGGAAAAATACAGGGCCTGCCTTTGGAGGGATTGCCAGTTTTCAGCCTCTGAGGAAAGTGTATGGAGGTATGAATGAACACAGGGCTGAAAGAGACCGCTTTTATTGGAATCGGCTTTGGAGTGCATCAGTGAACCTGATAAAGATTGCTTCCTGCCTCTGTACTGCCCATGATGAGGTGCTTGCTGGTCTGCGTGCTCCTCTGCAGCCACCCAGTGAAGTGTCTGTTGTCGGTCTCCATTTCACTGATGGAGAAAGCTGTGTTCCAAGGTGGTCAACTCACTCTCTTGACATGTTAACAAGGAAGAGGTGGCAGAACCTGGGAGAAGCACAGGCATTCGGGTCCCAGAGGAAACACCAGTGTAGTGGTTCTTGAAGTGGGCTCCTCCCAGACCAGCAGCAGCAGCAGTATCCCTTAGGAGCTTGTTAGATATGCAGACTTCTTTATTGACTCAGAAACTGGGAGTTGGGCTCAGCGCTCTGGGCTTTAAGAAGCATTCAAATGGATGCTGGACACGGTGACTCCTGCCTGTGATCCCAGCACTTTGGGAGGCCGAGGCGGGTGGATAGCTTGAGTCCAGGAGTTCAAGAGCAGCCTGGGCAACATGGTGAAACCCTGTCTCTTTAAAAAGAAAAGAAGAAATGTGGTTTCAAGCTTGGCCCCCGCCCATTGCACACACATACAAGGTCAATACACACACACAAGGTCAAGAGCTCTGCTAGAGAAAGGCCTGGACTGGGGTTTGCAGCCACCAGCCTTGCAACTGCCTTCTAGAGTAGAAACTAACTTGGTGAAGGGGGAAGGCAAATGCTTAGATAGATGTGACGGCTGGAGAAGCCCAGGGCTGACAGGGAGGAGCATGGCGAAGCATAGACAAGGAAGCGGGGCCTATTCCCACTGAAGTGACAAACATTGTGGACGCTCTGCGGCCACAGGCTTCTCAACAGCAGCTAGCAGGCACGTTTTCAGGCAGTGGAATTCCACACATCCCAGAACAGAAAATCAGTTTGGGCTGTTCTTTGGATTTGATTAGTGCCGAGTAGGGGTGAGGGAGACAAGAGTAAAGCAGTTTCCCCACAAGGTTGTTGAGACTGTTGGGTGCTGGATCTGAAACCCTGTGACTGTAAACAACGAGAGGATTTTTTTTTTAACTTTAGAAAAGAGGATGAAGTAATTCTCAATGTTTAAATTGTATTTGTATCTTTTGAAATGTTGGTAGAGGAGAACCTGAACTTGAATTTTACTTGTACCTGGCATTTGAAGAAGAGTCTGTATGAGTGTGTCATTTCGAGTTGATAGAGAAGGAACTTCTCATGGGTTTACGGTTGCTGGATAGATTGATAGTTGTTCCTTTCCTAGTTCATTCATCACTCTACTCCTTACTGCCCATTTATAAAATTCCTTCTATTTTGGAGAGTTTAAAGCATATGAAGTCGACATAATAGTATAAAGCAATGATCTCCCAAACTTTTTTTTAATCTCAAGATTTGTGAATAATCTTAGCAATTACGGAGGACGCCAAAGAGATTTCCTTAACATATGCAGTATACCTCTCAGTATTTACCATATTCAGTAGTAAAACAGAGTCTGTCCAGCACAGTGGCATCACACATCACAAAGCAGCTAGAAAACTAGATCCACTGTGTTACTGTGAGAGAATGAGTGAAAAGGCAAATAATGTCTTAGTATTTTATGGTCTTCTCAACGGTCTGGGATCTTGCACTGTACTTCAAGAGCTTTTGATAACATGTATGTAGCAGTTAGACAAGGTCATTATCACATGTTAATAAATTTAGACCTGGCGTGGTGGCTCATGCCTGTAATCCTGGCACTTTGGGAGGCTGAAGTGGGTGGATCACGTGAGGTTGGGAGTTTGAGACCAGCCTGACCAACATGGAGAAACTCCGTCTCTACTAAAAATACAAAATTAACCAGGTGTGGTGGTACCTGCCTGTAATTCCAGCTACTTGGGAAGCTGAGGCAAGAGAATTGCTTGAACCCAGGAGGCAGAGGTTGTGGTGAGCCAAGATCACGCCATTGTACTCCAGCCTGGGCAAGAAGAGTGATACTCTGTCTCAAAAATAAATAAATACATATATACATACACAAGTTTAACAGTAACTTCATGTCATCCAGTGTCTATAGGAGAGTCACTTTTCCAGTGGCCTCATATGTTATAATTTGTTGGGGTTTTTTTTGGTTTGGTTGGTTTTTTTTTAAAATGGAGTCTCTTTTAGCAGGCTGGAGTACAGTGGCACAATCTTGACTCACTGCAACTTCCGCTTCCTGGGTTCAATTGATTCTCCTGCCTCAGCCTCCCAAGTAGCTGGGACTACAGGTGCATGACACCACGCCCAGCTGATTTTTGTATTTTCAGTAAAGACAGAGTTTCACCATGTTGACCATGATGGTCTCTATCTCTTGACCTCGTGATCTGCCTGCCTCAGCCTCCCAAAGTGCTGGGATTACAGGTGTGATCCACCATACCTGGCCTGTAATTTTTTTTTTAATAGATTTTTACTCAAAATCTATGTTTCATTCAGTTGATATGCCTCCTAAGAATCTGTTAAAGAATCTGATAGTCTGTAGGAACCTTACAATTTATTAAAGAGTCTTGTTTTGGTTGTTGTCTGCTATTCATCCTGGGGAGTGTCTTTCAGAGGTTGGGCTTTGCAATTACACCTGTAACAGTTTATGCTTCTCTGTCCGCTCAGGCTTTTCATTCCATCCTGGGGTTCCTTTATACCAAGTGGTCTTTCTTTCAAACAGCAACTTCTGGATGTCACTGTTTGGAAAGTGAGCCTTGTTGGCGTGTTGGGGATAGTTGTCTTTTCCTATAAGTATCTCAAAGCAACCCACTGAAGGTGGGTAGAGTGCATTTTTGAAAGATGTGTCATGGCCTTGGGGTGGAATGAAAGACCAAGTAGTGGTTGGCAAAAAGAGCAAGAGATAAGCCCACTTTAAAACCATTCCCTCTCTAGAACCTGACAGTAGCAGAGCCAACTAGATTTTAAAATGCACAGAGAAAAGCACTTTTTTAAAAAGATAATTTGTTTTTTTTTTTTTTTTGAGACGGAGTTTCACTCTTGTTACCCAGGCTGGAGTGCAATGGCGCGATCTCGGCTCACCGCAACCTCTGCCTCCTGGGTTTAGGCAATTCTCCTGTCTCAGTCTCCCGAGTAGCTGGGATTACAGGCACGCGCCACCACGCCCAGCTAATTTTTTTGTATTTTTAGTAGAGACGGGGTTTCACCTCGTTGACCGGGATGGTCTTGATCTCTTGACCTTGTGATCCACCCGCCTCGGCCTCTTAAAGTGCTGGGATTACAGGTTTGAGCCACCGCGCCTGGCCGATAATTTAAGAATTATTACACTGGAGGTACATCCTATGAAATAATTCAAACTGTAGGAAAAAAGCAGCACCCTCCTTACAGATGCAGATTTAAAATACATAATGAAACCAGACTACATAAGCACCATGCTGTTTTACTTGATCGTGTACCTTAGATGGCTTTCTGTGACACTGCACAGATTATTTATTTTTACTGATTGCACAGTACTCCATCATATGCTGTATCATAATTTATGGACGTGATCCTCTGAGGATGAATATTTGGATTGTTCTGACTTTTCATGAGGTATTTTACTGATTGTTCATAATCTTTGTCCATTTTTCTCTTGAATTGTTTCCCATTTTTTCTTGTTAATTTATATTCTTAAGTCTCTTAATACATCTTTTTCCCGTTGTTATTCTCCATAGCCTGTTTTTTCAGGAATATGGTCACATAGGTTTACAATATGTTTTTACCAAATGTACGTTTTCTCTTTTGTTTTGTTTTGTTTTGAGCTGGAGTTTCGCTCTTTTTGCCCAGGTTGGAGTGCAATGGCGTGATCTCGGCTCACCGCAACCTCCGCCTCCTGGGTTCAGGCAATTCTCCTGCCTCAGCCTCTTGAGTAACTGGGATTACAGGCATGTGCCACCATGCCCAGCTATTTTTTTTTTTTTTTTTTTTTTTTTGTATTTTTCGTAGAGATGGGGTTTCTCTGTCTTGGTTGGGCTGGTCTCTAACTCCCGACCTCAGGTGATCTGCCCGCCTCTGCCTCCTAAAGTGCTGGGATTCCCGGCGTGAGCCATCATGCCTGGCATATGTTTTCAGTTTTCATAGAAACACATTTATCTCTTTCTTTCCTCCATGGCTTTTAGGGCTATATTACATTTTAGAAGTGCTTTTTCTGTTAAAAAGTTATAAAATATTTTCCTGTGTTTTTCTCCTTATTTCTTAATTCTTTTTTATGATATAGGGTCTCACTTTGTTGCCCAGGGTTGAGTGCAGTGGCATGATCTTGACTTACTGCAACCTCCACCTCCTGGGCTTAGGTGATCTGCCTGCCTCAGTCTCCCCAGTAGCTGGGACTACAGGCACTCACCACCACAGCTGACTAATTTTTGTATTTTTTTGTGGAGGAGGGGTTTTGCCATGTTGCCCAGGCTGTTCTTGAACTCCTAAGCTCGAGCAATCCGACCACCTTGGCCTCCCCAAGTGCTAGGATTACAGGCATGGGGCACTGTGCCTGGCCTCCACAAATCTTTAACTCAGTTTATTTTGGCATAAAGAGTGAGATACAGAGATCCAGCAGTATATGTATTTTTCATGTTATAATCATCTTAGTACCATTTATTTAGATAATTGGTAATCCATCTTTTCTTCCACTGATACGTTATGCTATTTTTGGTATATACTTGATTCACTTTTCAAATATATAGGATTTGGGTCTAATTCTGAACTCCTTTTAGTTGCATTGACCTTTGTTTGTTCCTGTACCAGAAACGTATTAACCCAGCTGTGTGATGAATTTTAGTATATGACCGCTCTATTTATTCCTCACACAAGTGGTTCTCAGCTCTGGCCACGCTTTATCAGATTTATCTGTAGAGTTCTTAAAAATATGATGTCTGAAGCACATGTAGACAAGTTAAGTTAGAATCTGTAGGATATGATAGGGACATTCATACAGTGTGCAGTTCCTCAGATGATTTTCATGGCAGCCAGGGTTGAGAACCACTGTGTTAGATAAATTTAGGACTTTTTTTCAAATTTTAAAAACAAAAAGTCGGGATTTTGGATTTATAAGATTCAGTACAGCTTTATAAACCATTTTAGGAGGGATGTGACATTTTAACAGTTTTGTGGCTTTCTCAGTCTTTTTATCCTATGCATATAAATGATCTTTTCTGAGGGTCTTATGTTCCTTAGAAGCATAGTATGGTTTTCTTTATCTGTGTAATCAATCTTTCTTATGTCGTTTATTTCTGGAGGTATTAGGGGATTTTTGTTGCTGTTGGGGATGAGTTCTATTTCATTATCTAACTGGCTGGGGTTTTTTTTTTGGTATATTTTTAAATTAATTTATTTACTTTAGGTGCATACTATATCTGGCATTTCTCCCCATGTTATCCCTCCTCACCCTCCCCTCCCTCCGCACCCCCTGCTGTCTCTCCCTACCCTCCTCAACTGCCCCCAGTGTGTGATGCCCCTCTCCCAGAGTCCACATGTTCTCGTTGTTCAACACCCACCTAAGAGTGAGAACATACGGTGTTTGGCTTTCTGTTCTTGTGTTAGTTTGCTGAGAATGATGGTTTCCAGATTCATCCAAGTCCCTACAAAGGACACAAACTCGTTTTTTTATGGCTGCGTAGTATTCCACGCTGTATATGTACCACATTTTCTTTGTCCAGTCTATCATTGATGGACATTTGGGTTGATTCTATGGAAGTCTAGTATTTATTTTTTTTTTCAGAGTTTCCAGTCAACACTCAGAAACAGGTTGTTCAGTTTCCAAGTTGTTGTGCGGGTTTGAGTGTGTTTCTTGATCCTGAGTCCTAGTTTGAGTGCGCTGTGGTCTGATAGACTGTTTGTTATGATTTCTGTTCTTTTGCATTTGCTGAGGAGTGATTTGCTTCCAATGATGTGGTCAGTTTTAGAGTATGTGCAATGTGGTGCTAAGAAAAATGTATATTCTGTGGATTTGGGGTGGAGCATTCTGTATATGTCTATTAGATCCACTTGGTCCAGCTCTGCATTCAAGTCCTGGATATCCTTGTTAATTTTCTGTCTCATTGATCTAATATTGACAGTGGAGTGTTGAAGTCTCCCACTATTATTGTGTGGGAGTCTAAATCTCATTTTAGGTCATTAAGAACTTGCTTTATGTATCTGGGTGCTCCTGTGTTGGGGGCGTATGTATTTAGGATACTTAGCTCTTCCTGTTGGATTGATGCTTTTACCATTATGTAGTGTCCTTCTTTGTCTCTTTTGATCTTTGTTGGTTTGAAATCTATTTATCAGAGACTAGGATTGCAACCCCTGCTTTTTTTTTGTTCTCCATTTGCTTGGTAAATCTTCTTCCATCCCTTTATTTTGAGTCTATGTGTGTCTTTGTATGTGAGATGGGTTTCCTGAATAAAGCACACTGAAGGGTTCTGACTTTTTATCCAGTTTGCCAGTCTGTCTTTTGATTGGGGTGTTTAGGCCATTTACATTCAATGTTAATATTGTTATGTGTGGATTTGATACTGCCATTTTGTCACTGACTGGTTTTCTTTCCCATTAGTTGCCTCATTTTCTTCATTGCAATTTTGGTTTTTGCCACTGGTTTGCTTTTGCAGTGACTGGTACTTGTTCCTTTCCATGGTTAGTGTTTCTTTCGGGAGCTCTTGTAGGGCAGGTCTGGTGGTGACAAAATCTCTCACAAAATTGCTTCTCCATAAAGGATTTTATTTCTCCTTCACTTACAAAGCTTAGTTTGGCCAGATATGAGATTCTGGGTTGAAAGTTCTTTTCTTTAAGGATGTTGAATATCGGCCCCCACTCTCTTCTAGCTTGTAGGGTTTCTGCAGAGAGATCTGCTGTGAGTCTGATTGGCTTCCCTCTGTGGGTGACCTGGCCTTTCTCTCTGGCTGCCCTAAGCATTTTTTCCTTCATTTCAACCCTGGTGAATCTGACAATTATGTGCCTTGGGGTTGCTCTTCTTGAGGAATATCTTTGGGGAGTTCTCTGTATTTCTTGAATTTGAAATTTGGACTGCCGGCCAGGCGCGGTGGCTCAAGCCTGTAATCCCAGCATTTTGGGAGGCCGAGGCGGGTGGATCACGAACACGAGGTCAACAGATCAAGACCATCCTGGTCAACATGGTGAAACCCCGTCTCTACTAAAAATACAAAAAATTAGCTGGGCATGGTGGCGCGTGCCTGTAATCCCAGCTACTCAGGAGGCTGAGGCAGGAGAATTGCCTGAACCCAGGAGGCGGAGGTTGCGGTGAGCCGAGATCACACCATTGCACTCCAGCCTGGGTAACAAGAGCGAAACTCCGTCTCAAAAAAGAAGAGAAATTTGGACTGCCTTGCTAGGCTTGGGAAGTTCTCCTGGATAATATCCTGGAACATGTTTTCCAGCTTGGATTCATTCTCCCATCATATTCAGGTACACCGATCAAGCGTAGATTAGGTCTTTTCACATAATCCCTTATTTCTTGGAAGCTTTGTTTATTTCTTTTCACTCTTTTCTCTTGTCTTCCCTTCTCTTTTTATTCCATTGAGTTGATCTTCAATCTCTGATATCCTTTCTTCTCCTTGATTGATCTGGCTATTAAAACTTGTGTTTGCTTCACATAGTTCTCGTGCTGTGTTTTTCAGCTCCATCAAGTTGTTTATGTTCTTCTCTATCCTGGTTATTCCAATTAGCATTTTGTCTAACTTTTTTTCAAGGTTTTTGGTTTCTTTGCATTGAGTTAGAACATGTTCCTTTAGCTCAGAAATGTTTATTAGCCACCTTCTGAAGCCTGTTTCTGTCAGTTTGTTGCACTCCTCAGTCAAGTTGTGATCCTATGTTGTTGAGAAGTTGTGATGCCTTGAAGGAGAAGTGTCGTTCTGGTCTTTGATGGTTTCATCTTTTTGTGCTGGTTTTTTCCCATCTTTGTGGATTTATCTGGCTGTGGTGTCGGGAGCTGCTTGATGAGGTTGCTTGTCTGCCCAGGAAGGCCGGGTTTCTGTAGTTCTCTAACATCACATTTCTATATAAATTCTGCTGTGCAGTGTCTAGGCACTGCCACTCCTCCAGAGAGAATTCTGTGGCCATATCCCTAAATGTCAACGGTTCCATTTCTAGGCTTCCAAGGGATCCTGGCGTCTTAGCTGTGGATCTCCAATATCTGCAGGTCACAGAGCCACACAAGCTAGGCATCTAGGAGAACCGGACACAGAGAAGTGAAGACGAGCCTAACTGGCTGTTTTAATATAGGAAAGATGTTATGTGTATGCTACTCTGGTACTCTGGCTGCTTTATGGGATTATCTTAAATATTCTAATACATTTTCAGGAGATTGTGTTGGGTTTTCCAAGGAGATAGTAATCTTTTCCATTATTGATACTTTTATTTTCTTCTTGCTAATATTTGTACCAGTTTTTATGCTCTTAGGCATCCCTCCTGTGTTGTATCCTACTTAACTGGATATGTATCTGGTGTTTTATTATTAAGAATAATATGAGCTTTGGTTTGCAGTCATTTGTATATTTCTTTCTAAATTAGGGCATAATCTATTCTTCATAAAATAAATGATAAAATCTAAATGTTAGGTTTTATAAAATTTCTCTTTGATACCTACCTATGGTGATTACCTTGTGATTTTTCACTTTTCGTTTATTTATGTGATAGATTAACTGAATAGGTTTTATAATATCAAATTGGGCCATCTCTGTAATTGTAAAAAGTTAATGTATTGCTGAGTTTTAATTGCTAGTGTTTTATTTAGAATTTTGTTTCTCATTACTCAGTGATTAAATTGATCCATAGTTCTTTTAGTGCTTTGTCAATTTTTATATCAGTATTATGTTAACTTGGTCAAAAAGAGTTTGAAAGTCTTTTGTATTTATTCTCTGAAACAGTTTAGATTGATTTGGAATGATCTATTCCATTAAGAATTGAGAGACTTCCGAGGTGGGTGGATCACCTGAGGTCGGGAGTTCAAGACCAGCCTGACCAACATGGTGAAACCCCGTCTTTAAAAAAAAAAAAGAAGAAGAATTGAGAGACTTCACCCTTAAAGTGATGTGGACCTGAAGCTTTTTTTCCCTTGGAAGTGACTGAACATCTTTGATAATAGTGCCAGGTGTGGTGGCTCACACTTATATTTCCAACACTTTGGGAGGCTGAGGTGGGAGGATTGCTTGAGCCCAGGAGTTTAAGACCAGCCTGGGAACATAGGGAGACCCTGTGTCTAATAAAATTTAAAAATTAGCTGGTCATGGTGGCAAACGTCTGTAGTCTCAGCTACTCAGGAGGCTGAAGCAGGTGGATTGCTTGAGCCCAGGAGTGCGAAGTTGCAGTGGGCCATGATCTCACCACTACACTCAAGCATAGCCGACAGAGTGAGACTCTGACTCAAAAAAAATAAAAGAACAAATCCTTGACAACTTTATTGCTGTTTTTTATAAATATTGGCTCTTTTAGGCTGTTAGTAATCTCTTAGGTCAATATAATTTTTATTTAATAAAGTCTAAATTTGCTTTGATTTTGAGAAAAACTAACAGATATTCTTAATCTTTGTTTAAAAAAAAATTCGAAGGTAGGTAAGTCCCATGTTGCAGATTAAGAAAGGCTGCCAGTAAGTGGCAGAACCAGGCCTGCGTTCACAGTCTGGCCAGGGGCCTGTTAGCACTAGTGCAATATAGTCTGTTTTTAGTTTCTATTTTAGTGGAAATTTCTTTTCATGTGGCCTTTAAAATTTGTTAACTGAGAGCTGCGCACAAATATGTGCAGTTCTTAGTCACTTTTGATATTTGCGATTATTTCTCCTTTTCTCATTCCTAATTGTGTGTGACTCTTAAAGAAAATATTTACAGTAGGAAAAACATGACCCTTGTTGACAACATGGCAGTATTATTTATTAACAAAACATAGTATCACTATTTTTTTCTTTTGTTTTCTTTACTCTTGTGATAGATGAATGCATAGTAATTCTTTTTAAAAAAAACAAAACAGTTTTTCAAATTTGACAGTAGCAAAACTTAACAGGTTATCTTATGCAAGGAGCATGTTCTCATTGTCTACTAAAAATAACTCATACACTTGTCCTGTAGAAAGAGAGCAAAAAAGACATTTGGGTGGGATTTAGAAGCCGCACTACAGACACTCCCTTGACTGTAGGTGTTAGAGATGTTGCTGCGCACAGAGATGACAGAAGGAAGCCGGAAGCTGCTACAGTATTACCAGGTCAAGGGGTCCAGAGGCATTCTAATTTTAAGGTTGGTAAGAATTTGCTTTTGTGACCTGAGAAATCTTACAAGTTACTTTCTTTTAACTAATGAATCTGAAAAGTGACTAAAATAGTTTGTATGGTAAACCATCTTCATAGGGGGTCAGATTAGGGCTCACTTTTTGAATAAAGTTTTTGGAATATTCATCTTTTTCAGAAAGTCATCAGAAAACACAGGGCTTAATTTTTGACTGGTGAGCTTCCTGGAGTAAAGGTTTGGTTTGGTTTTGAGTTGGAGTCTCACTCTGTCCCCCAGGCTGGAGTGCAGTGGCAAGATCTTGGCTCACTGCAGCCTCCACTTCACAGGTTCGAGCAATTCTCCTGCCTCAGCCTCTCAAGTAGCTGGGGTTACAGGTGCACACCACCACGGCTCGGCCAATTTTTGTATTTTTAGTGCAAATTAGATCAGCTCAGGACTCAGTGAGCTATCATTTTTGTTAGATACTATAAAGCAGTGGTACCAAAACTGGAATGTCCAGCAGAGTCGCTGCAGGCTTGTTAAGACAGATTTCTGCCTCCAGCTTGCTTCCATTCAGCAGATTTGGGGTGGGACCTGAGAATTTGCATTTCTTTTTTGTAGAGACAGGATTTCACTATCTTGGCCAGGCTGATCTTGATCTCCTGACCTCGTGATCCACCCGCCTCAGCCTCCCAACATGCTAGGATTACAGGCGTGAGCCACCGCGCCTGGCCTTGCAGTTCTAACCAGCTCATAGGTGACCCTAACTGCGGTGGTCAGGGGCCACACTCTGAGAAGCTGTGCACTAAAGGAATGGATTAGCAGAATATAGTCAGTAAAGAATTTATTTTATTTTTTATTTTTTTGAGATGGAGTTTTGCTCTGTCATCAGGCTGGAGTGCAGTGGCGTGATCTCAGCTGACTGCAACCTCCGCCTCCCAGGTTCAAGTGATTCTCCTGCCTCAGCCTCCTGAGTAGCTGGGACTACAGGTGCACGCCACCATGTCCAGCTAATTTTTTTGTATATTTAGTGGAGATGGGATTTCACCATGTTGACCAGGTTGATCTCAATCTCTTGACCTCGTGATCCTCCCACCTCAGCCTCCCAAAGTGCTGGGATTACGGGCTTGAGCCACCATGCTTGGCCAGTCAGTAAAAAATTAGTAGAAACAAGTTGGCTAAGAAATCATTTATCCACTTTCTGTATTTTGGGTATATTATTGGGAATTTCTAATTTTATTTATTTTGAGACAAGGCCTCACTCAAGTCACCCAGGCTGGAGTGGCGTGCAGTAGCATTACCATGGCTTCCTGCAGCCTTGAACTCCTGGGCTCAAGCAATGCTCCAGCCTCAGACTCCTAAGGAGCTCATACTACAGGTGTGTACCATCATGCCTGGCTAAGTTTTTTTATTTTTTTTTAAATTGATACTCATATATACACCTTTATTTGTACTGAAAATTGTAAAAAGAACACAAAGTTTCCTCTTAATGCAACCCAAATTTTTCTTACTGTTGTGCTCTAGGCAAGCTACCCAGTGCTTTCTTTACCCACAAGTGACTTTACTTCACATTCTTGATACTGGCTTTCATCTCGCTGACTTTGGGCTTCTAAAACACATGAGGATACTTAGGTCCTCTTGGCTTCTTTGAGTCAAATTAAACAGTAGAGCTGAAGTATACTGAAGTTATTTGGATGCCTTCAGACTACAGAGATCCCTTATACATCAGTAGTATCGCTGTAGAAAGGAAAAGATAAAAGAAAAAATACATCCTAGAACTCATTATGAAAGTTTTTCCTATATAGTTTATTGTAGCATGGAGTAGCTTTCTCAACCTGCTGCATGAAATTACCAGCAAGAAAAAAAAAGTACAAGAATAAGGCTTATGGCTGACGTGGCTCATTGTTGTAATTCTCTTTTGTAGCATTCTCAGAAGGTTCCCATCTGTTACACACACACAAACTACAGCAACATCTGAATCGTCCACTTCTTGATTCATTCTGAACTCCCTTAAGCCCAGTCAGTGTTAGTTCTATTTCATGCCTAGCTCTGCCCAGTAACAGGTATCTCAATTTTGCCATCCTTTTTGCGTAGACGGCAGTGTTCGTACTCTTCTCCTGTAAATCAAGTCATCTCTGATTTCTTTGAAGATCGTTGCTCCCCCATACACTGTTGTTGGGGTGAACCTTCCAGCATAGGGGCAGGGAATTTGGTAGTAGGGTTGATTGTCAAGTTACTAAGGTTCGTTATCAACATTTTGGAGCGGAAGTTTTGAGAGGCCCCTGACCTGGGAATTTTCTTCAGTGAGTGTTTGTGAAGATTCTTGGGACCAAGGTTGGATTAAACTTTTGTGATGGGTACATTAGCAGTCATGACACAACACTTACCTTCTCCTGGATCTTTGAAACCCAGCAGAAATTGATGACGAACTCTCAGATTGCCAGAAGATAGACCAGAAAGAGCCTGAAACGCAAACTCCAACCAATTTTTTTTCTTTTACTTTTAATGCAGACAAGGTGTTGCTATGTTTGCCTGGGCTGGCCTTGAACTGAGCTTAAGCTGACCTCCTGTCATGGCCACCCAAAGTGCTGGGTTTACAGGTGTGAACCATCATGCCTGTCTGGAATTTCTAATATTTAATAGCAAGAGAAATAATACTGTACAGTTGTCTGTTGCTTTTCACTTTTTCATGCGAAGTCATGCATTAAAATAATGCAAAGAAATAATGGAATTTTATATTAAGCACATCTTAATTTGGCCTCTTTTAAAAGATAACAAAAATAGTTTATAGAATGAAATTCTGCAGTCCAGTGAATTAATACAGCATCATGCAGAATGTATGTAACTTGCGTGGGCACAGATGTTTAGTAGACATGTTAAGCAGTCTAGGATCTTATGATGATAATGGAAAATGAGCATAGATGTTCTGTAGAATGTATGATTCAGGATGTACCTACCTTCCTATGATAATTAATCATGAATTTTCTTTCTTTCTTTTCTTTTTTTTTTTTGAGATGGAGTTTTGCTCTTGTTGCCCAGGCTGGAGTGCAATGGCATGATAACAGCTCACTTCGACCTCCGCCTCCAGGGTTCAAGCAGTTCTCCTGCCTCAGCCTCCCAAGTAGCTGGGATTACAGGTGCCCGCCACCAAGCCCAGCTAATTTTTTGTTTTTTGTTTGTTGTTGTTTGTTTGTTTTTGAGATGGAGTTTTGCTCTCATACCCACGCTGCAGTGGCAGTGGCGCAATCTCAGCTCACTGCAACCTTCACCTCCTGGGTTCAAGTCATTCTTCTGCCTCAGCCTCCTGAGACTACATGCGTGTGCCACCACGCCACACTAATTTTTTATATTTTTAGTAGAGACAGGATTTCACCGTGTTAGCTAGGATGGTTTTAATCTCCTGACCTCATGATCTGCTCACCTCAACCTCCCAAAGTGCTGAGATTACAGGTGTGAGCCACTGCACCCAGCCCATTTTTTGTATTTTTAGTAGAGATGGGGTTTCACCATGTTGGCCAGGCTGATCTTGAACCCCTGACCTCAGGTGATCAGCCAACCTCGGCCTCCCAAAGTGTTGGGATTACAAGCATGAGTCACTGTGCCTAGCCTCATGAATTTCTTTTTTAGACTTCTTAATTAAATGGGATTGCATGTGTGTATTAAACGGATTGACACACACATGGTACTCAGTATACGTAGCAGCAGCAGCAGTAACAGCAGCACCTCAGACTGCCTTCTGCAGATGTAGGGGCTAAGTGCTTTCAAGCCTGGCATGGGCTCTGGAATAAGCTGCCTCATTTCACATCCAGGCTTCGCTAATTATTAGCTATGGGAAACTTATTTAATCTCTCTGGGCTTTAGTTTTTTTGGCTTTTAATTGAGGATAATAGTAGCTGCCATTGAGAATTGTTGTATCAGTTAAAAATGGATAAAAATCTCTATCTTACAGAACCACGTCAATTAAATGAGGTGATATATGTAACATTATTAGCATAGTACATAGGTTTACAGAAAACCTTTCAGAGAATACTGAGTAGTGAACTGGCAAGGTGCTTTGCCACATAAAATATTTGAGATAGCCACAAAACATTTGAAGTGATAATGAGACTGCTTTTCTGATATTTTCAGAAAACATTTTTTGGTAGTAAAAATAGCTGTTGAACTTGGTGGCACATTCCTGTGATCCCAGCTCCTTAGGAGGCTGAGGCAGGAGGATTTCTTTAGGCCAGGAATTTGACACCAGCCTGGGCAACAGATCGAAATCCTGTATTAAGTTTTAAAAAGTTGATGTTTATTATAGAAAATTAGCACAGAAATGCCCAGAAAAGAAAATCTTGGCCTGTAAGCCTATAACCTAGTCATACTTAGTGCTAAAGAAACCATACATCTGATGTTTTCTCTACTAGGCTTTTATCTATAATCATGTATCTTTTTATTTTTTTAGATGGAGTCTTGCTCTGTTGCCAGGTGGAGTGCAGTGGCCTGATCTCAGCTCACTGCTACCTCCCCCTCCCAGATTTAAGCAGTTCTCCTGCCTCAGCCTCCCTAAAACCTGGAACTATAGGCGCACGTCACCAGGCCCAGCTAATATTTGTATTTTTAGTAGAGATGGAGTTTCACCATGTTGGCCAGGCTGGTCTCGAACTCCTGACCTCGTGATCCACCCTCCTCAGCCTCCCAAAGTGCTGGGATTACAGGCATGAGCCACCGCACCCGGCTTTATCTTTTCTAAAGTCAGAGTTGGAGTAGTATTTCCAGTTAACTTTGTGGCTGATTATTTTCTATAACACAAACAGAATGAATGTTTAGCATAACAACAATGAAGATTTTTATTTGACGGATCTCCTAGGTGGCCACCTTGAAGAGTAACTTAGACACGTGCCACTTAACAATGGGGGTGATTAAATTAAAAAAAAACAATGGGGGTGAAATGCATCCTTAGGTGATTTTGTTACTGTGGGAAGATCATAGAGTGTAGTTTAGATAGCATAGCCTATCATACACCTAGGCTATATAGTATACCCTGTTGCTCCTAGATTATAAATCTGTACATCATGTTACTGTAATGAATACTGTGGGCAGTTGTAACACAATGCCACAGTGCTAAGTATTTATAAACCTAAACATTTCTATACATAGAAATGGTATGGTAAAAAATAGTGTATAAAAGATTTAAAATGGCATACCTGACTAGGCACTCTGTCCCATGCCTGCAATCCCAGCACTTTAGGAGGCTGAGGCAGGAGGATCACTTGAGCCCATAAGTTGGAGACTGACCTGGGCAGCACAGATCCTGGTGTGTGTGTGTGGTGGTAGGGGGTGAGGGAGAGGCTGTCGTGTATGTGTAAAATAGACCTATATAAGGCATTTACTATGAATGGTGTTTGCAGGACTGGAGGTTTCTGTAGGTGAGGGAAAGTGGTGAGTGAAAGATGTCTGAGAATGTTGCTGTATACTGCTTTAGACTTTATACACACTTTGTACACTGAGGCCACACTAAATTTATTTTTTTTCAATTTTATTAATAAATTAACCTTAGCTTACTTCGGTTGTTTTTGTTTTGAGATGGAGTCTCGTTCTTTCACCAGGCTGGAGTGCTTTGGCACAATTTTGGCTCACTGTGACCTCCAGTTTCCTGGTTCGAGCGATTCTCCTGCCTTAGCCTCCTGTGTAGCTGTGATTACAGGCACATGCCACCATGGCCAGCTAATTTTTTTTGTATTTGTAGTAGAGATGGGGTTTCGCCATGTTAGCTAGGCTGATCTCAAACTCCTGACCTCGTGATCTGCCTGTCTCGGCCTCCCAAAGTGCTGGGATTACAGGCACGTGCTACCACACCCAGCTGTAAACTTATGTTTTTTAAAAAAACTTCTTTATTCTTTTGTATTAACACTTAGCTTAAAGCACAAACATGTTACAACATGTACAGCTGTACAAAAGTATTTGTGCTTATTCATAAACTTTTTTCTATTTTTTTTTTCAATTTTCAATCTGTTTTGTTAAAAACTAAAACACAAACATGTACACACACACCCTCTAGCCTAGGCCTGCATAGGGTCAGGATCATGAATATCACTCTTTCACCTCCACATCTTGTCACACTGAAAGGTCTTCAGAGGCAGTAACACGTATGGAGGCTCTAATCTCCTGTGATGACAGTGCTGCCTTCTGGAATACCTCCCGTAGGTCCTGCCTTGAGGCTGTTTTACAGTTAACTTAAAACGTAGGACTGTACTCTAATAAAGTGTAGTAAATACATAAGCCAGTAACATAGTCATTTGTTATCATTATTGAGTAATTGAGCCCCGCTTTTATATAGTTGGTGGTACATAGATTTGTTGACAGCAGAAGTGTCACAGACACGTGAGTAATGCCTTGTGCTATGACAGTGTGAACTGCTATGTCTCTAGGCCATTGGAATTGTTCAGCTCCATGATGATCTTATGGGACTGCTGTATATGAGGCTGTACTTAGAAGAAAAACGATTGTCTTTGTTACTTTAGCAGCTACAGGTCAAGTTAAATACCTACCTATATTTATTTTTAAAATATTATTTTACTTTTATTATATTTGGAGGTATAATTTACATAGCATGAAATACACAGATCTTATATTTGTTAAAACCCTTTATCTGCAGAACCCACACCCCGTCAAAATTCAAGACATTTTTCTTAACCCAGAATGTTCCTTTGTATGCCTCCCTTTTTCTGTCCCCACTCAACCCCCACAGTTACTGCTAATATCTTTCACCATGAATTGCTTTGCTTGTTCTCAGACTTCATATAATGGAATAATATAGTACGTGCTTATTTAATACGACTTCTTTTGCTCACACTTGTTTTCTGAGATTCATCCATGTAGTTGGCATGAACTGGTTCTTTGTTATTACTAAGTGGTATTCTGTTGTATGACTATAGCATAGTTTGCTTGTCCATTCTCCCATTAATGGACATTGGGATGGTTTCCAGTTTGAAGCTATTAAGAATAAATCTTCTGTGAACATTTTTGTACAAGTTTTTTTGTGGGCATGTAAATTTTCATTTCTCTTAAATAGGAATGAAATTGACTGTATAAGTAGGAGTCAGCAGTCTAAGGGCAAACTATATCTCATAGGCCACATCCAGCTCCATGACCCGTTTTTATATGGCCTGCCACATAAGAATGGGTTTTATAGTTTTAAAGGATTATTTAAAAAGAAAATCTGGGATGGAAACTATAGGTTATCGGCAAAGACTAGATTATTTACTAACTGTCCCTTGATAGAAAAAAATCCCTGTAATCTGTTCTAGTTTGTTCAGTTGATCTATTTTTCTATCCATTTAGTTTGTTCCTTAGGAAATCTTTTAAAGATTTTTTTGTTTTTTGAGGTAGAGTCTTGCTCTGTCGCACAGGCTAGGGTGCTGCCCAGGCTGGGGTGCAGGGGCATGATCTCAGCCCACTGCAACCTCTGCCTCCTGGGTTCAAGCGATTCTCCTGCCTTAGCCTCCTGAGTAGCTGGGACTGCAGGCACCTGTCACCATACCCGGGTAATTTTTTGTATTTTTAGTAGAGACAGGGTTCCATCATGTTAGCCAGGGTAGTCTCGATCTCCTCACCTTGTGTTGTGCCTGCCTCAGCCTCCCAAAGTGCTGGGATTACAGGCATGAGCCACAGTGCCTGGCCCTAAAGATTTTATTTTTTTGGAGTAGTTTGGGCTTTACAACTAAATGAAGGTACAGAGATTTTTCCATCTATCCTCTGTTTCCTAGTTCATAGTCTCCCCCATTATCAGCATCCTCCCCAACTCCCCTGTCTAGAATGGTACAGTTTGTCACAATCAATAAACCTATATTGACATGTCATAATGAACCCAAAGTCTGTAGTTTTCATTAGGGTTCACTCTTGGTGTTGTACATTCTCTGGGCTTGGACAAATGTATAATGATGTGTGCATCTTTGTAGTGTCATGCAGAGTATTTTCACTGCCCTAAAAGTCCTCTGTGTTTCACTTCTTCATCCCTCTCTCCTCCCCCCAAACCCTGGCAACCACTGATTGTCTCCGTATTTTGCCTTTTTGTAAAGTTACAGTCATACAGTGTGTAGTCTTTTCTGATTGGCTTCTTTCATTTGATGATATGTATTTAAGGTTCCTCTGGATCTTTTCCCTTTACCTACTGAAGGACTTCATGGTTGCTCCCAAGTTTTGACAGTTAGGAATAAACTTAACCATAAACATTTATGTGCAGGTTTCTGTCTAGATAAAAGTTTTCACCTCTTTTGAGTAATTACCAGTGAGCACAATTGCTGGATTATGTGGTAAAAAAGTCTGCTTAGTTTTGTGAGAAACTGCGGAAATATCTTCCACAGTGTCTGTAACTTTTTGCATTCCTACCAGTGATGATTGAGAGCTCCTGTTGGGTACATCCTGCCAGCATTTGGTGTTGACAGTGTTCTGGATTTGGCTATTCTAATAAGCGAATATTGGTATCTCATTGTTTTAATTTGCATTTCTCTGATATGATGTGGATCATCTTTTCATATGCTTATTTGCCATCTATGTATCTTTGATGACGTATGTGTTAGGGTTTTTGGTTCATTTTTATACCAGGTCATTGTTAATTGTTGAGTTGTGAGAGTTCTTTGTATATTTTTGCAAATAGATCTTTATCAGATGTGTCTCTTGCACATATTTTCTCCCAGTCTGTGGCTTGTGTTTTCATCTTCTTGACATGAACTTTGAAGGGACAGTTTTTAATTTTAATGAAGTCCATTTTATTATTTCGTGGGTGAAACTTTGATAGATGTACTTTAGTTTTACAGTAAGTTTTAAAGTCATGTTACTTAGTTTCTTGTTTTCATTTCTGTTTAATTCCTAGATTTTAGATCATTATTTGTTGCTGGTATGGAGAAGTATAATAATTTTTTTCTGTACTAATGTATCTGTGGCCCTGCTAAACTCACTGATTGATTTTTTAAGATGTCTTAGAATTTTCTGGACCATGTTGTCTGAGAATAAAAATAGTTGCATCTTTCTTTTTCTTTCTTTCTTTTTTTTTTCTTTTTTGAGGAGGAGTCTTGCTCTGTCGCCCAGGCTTTAGTACAGTGGCGTGATCTTGGCTCACTGCAACCTGTATCTCCCTGGTTCAGGCGATTCTCCTGCCTCAGCCTCCCGAGTAGCTGAGATTACAGGCGTGCACCACCTTGCTTGGCTAATTTTTGTATCTTTAGTAGAGACGGGTTTTCACCATGTTGGTCAGGCTGGTCTTGAACTCCTGACATCATGATCTGCCTTCCTTGGCCTCCCAAAGTGCTGGGATTACAGGCATGAGCCACCTCACCCAGCTACTTCTTCCTTTTTCATCTGTATGCATTTTATTTATTTTTCTGGCTTTAAGGTTCTGCCTAGGACCTCTAGTACAGTGTTTAATAAAAGCAATGACAGTGTGCATCCCATTTCTTACTCTTGATTTGTGGAAAAAAACATTCAGCCTTTCACTTAGTATGATATTAGTTGTAGGCTTTGGGTATCATTCATTAGGATGAGTAATTTTGTTTCTAGTTTGCTGAGTCTTTTGGTCATAAGTTATTACTGAATTTTGTCACATCTTTTCTTCATTTATTGAGATGAGTCATAGGGTGGTTTTTTTCTTTTTTCGAATGTGAATTACATCTTTCTGAATGTTGAACCAACCTTGCATTCCTGTGACATAACCCTACTTGATTGTGGAGTGTTATCTTTTTTTATATATTACTGGATCTGATTTATTAAAATATTGTACAGGATTTATGCTTCCACAGTAAGGTGCTACCTATCGAACTTTGGTCAACAGCAGACTACATATCCAACTGTGGTCCTGTAAAATTATAATATGTTTTTGCTGTGTCTTTTCTACATTTAGATACACAAATACTTGCAGTTGTGTTACAGGTATCTCCAGTATTCAGCACAATAACAAGCTGTACAGGTTTGTAGCCTGGGAGCAGTGGGCTATACCATATAGCCCAGGTGTGTAGTAGGCTGCACCATCTGGGTTTGTGTAAGTACATTCTGTGATGTTCCCACAGTGACCAGAATTACCTAATGACACTTTTCTCAGAAGATATCCTTGTCTTCGGCCAAAGCATGATTATATATTAATGACTGATATGGATCTATAATTTTCTGGTTTTTTACAGTGTTCTTACTGGTTTTGATAACAGTAATACACTGGCTTCATGACGTTACCTGGAAATGTTTCCTCTCTTCTGAAAGAGTTCATCTTATATTATTTTTTCCTTAAATGTTTTATAAAATTCACCAGTGAAGCGATCCAGGTCTGGCGTTTTCCTTGTGGGAAGGTTTTTAAGTTATGACTTAATTACTTTAGTAGGTGTTAAGCTATTCAGATTTTCTGCTTCTTGTGCTAATTTTGGTAATTTGTATTTTTAAGTAATATATCCATTTTATTTAAGTTCTTGAATTGATTTGGCATGAAGGTGTTCACAACATTTCTCTTTTCTTTTTTCTTTTTTTTAATTGAGATGGAGTGTCACTCTGTTGCCCAGGCTGGAGTACAGTGGCACAATCTCAGCTCACTGCAACCTCCACCTCCTGGGTTCAAACAGTTCTCCCACCTCAGCTTCCCAAGTAGCTGTGATTACAAGTACATTTTTTTATATTTTTAGTATAAGTGGGGTTTCGCCCTTTTGGCCAGGCTGGTGTTGAACTCCTGACCTCAAGTGAGGCGTCTTCCTCCGCCTCCCAAAGTGCTGGGATTATAGGTGTGAGCCTCCACACCCGGCCTCTCTACTGTTTTCTTAATGTGCATAGAATTTTTAGTAATGTCTGGTGTGCTCTCTTGTTTTTCCCTGTTGTTCTAGGTTGGGGTTTATCAATTTACTGATATTTTCAAACAGCCAGCTTTTGATTTTGTCAGCCTTTTCTTGTTTGTTTTCTGTGTCATCATTTCTGTCTTTATTTGCTTCTGCTTATTTTGGGTTTTCTTTGGGGTAGAAGTTTATATCATTGATTTTAGCCTTATCCAATATTAACATTTGGGCAATAAGTTTCTCCTTAAACCCTATGCTCCTTTTTCATTTCCTCATTTCTTTGAATCCTTTTAATCTGTAAACATCAAAACGTGCCCCAAATACTGTTCTTAATTGCATCTCATAAATTATAATAAATTTTTAAAGTTAATCTGAAATATTTTTATTTTTTACATTTGATTTATTCTTTGACCCATGGATTATGCTGAAATGTGTTTAGCTTTTAAATATTTAGGAATTTTGCAGATTCTTTCTACTGGTTTCTAACTCCGATGTGTTCAGAGAACATACTCGGTATGATTGTTATGGAAATTGCAGACTTGTCTTATGGCCCAGGGATGGTTTTTCTTTTTTTTTTAATTGTTATTTATTTATTTTTTTGAAACAGAATTTCACTCTTGTTACCCTGACTGGAGTGCAGTGGCACCATCTCAGCTCACTGCAGCATCCCAGCACTTTGGGAGGCCACACTTGAGTTTGAGACCACCCTGGCCAACGTGGTGAAACCTGTCTCTACTAAAGATATAAGATAAATTAGTAGCCAGGCATGGTGGTGCTTGTCTGTGGTAGCAGCTGCTTTTGGGGGGGCCTGAGACACAAAAATTGCTTAAATCCACAGACAGAGGTTGCAGTGAGCTGAGATTCCACCACTGCACTCCAGCCTGGGCATGAAGCAAGACTCTGTCTCAAAAAAAAAGAAAAAAAACCAAAAAACGAATGTGTATCCTATGGTTATGGGATGTGCTGTTTCATAATTGTCAACTAGAATAAGTTGGTTGATTATATTCAAATCCTTACTGATTATTTTTTGTTCTGTTGGTTACTAGGGGAGGATTATTAAAATCTACTATTATAATTATAGGTTTGTCTGGTTTTTCTTTTAGTCAGAACAAAATGTAACTACTTATTTCTTGTGCTTTAAATCTCTTTTTATTAGGTGAATATGTATTTTAGATTGTTAGGCCTATGGTAAATTTAGCATTTTATCATTACAAAATTTTTGTTGTTGTTGTTAATATTGTCTGTCTTTGTATCTTCTTTTTCTCATATTTAATGTAGACTCTGACTTTCTTATGATTAGCATTCACAGAGTTTGGGTTTTTTCCCCACTCTTTTTGTTTTGATAACAAGATTTCACTCTCACCCAGGCTAGAGTGCAGTGAGTGGTACAATCTGGGGCTTACTGTAACCTCTGCCCCCCACCCAGGATCAAGTGATCTTCCCACCTCAACCTCCCAAGTAGCTAGGACCACAGGCATGCATCACCACGCCTGGCTATTTTTTTGTATTTTTAGGAGAGACAGGGTCTCAACATGTTGCCCAGGCTGGTCTCGAACTCCTGAGCTCAAGCAGTCTGCCTACCTCGGCCTCCCAAAGTGCTGGAATTACAGGCATGAGCCACCACACCCAGCCCACTCTTGGTCTTTACATTTAAAATATGTCTCTTGTAAGCAGCATAGCAGTAGATCTTGTTTTAATTTGTTCTAATAACCTTAGTCTTTTAATTGTAGTGTTCAGTTTATTTATATTTATTGTTGATAATTGTTGGGTTTAGGTCTCTGATCTTGTTTTCTGTTTGTCCCTTCTGTGTTTTGTTCCTTTTTTTCTCCTTTCCTGCTCTTCTTTTAGAGGCAAATTCCAACATCTCTGTCATCTATGTATCTGTTTCATTTGCAGTCTTTTGTTTGTTTAAATGTAGAATTCCTGGTTATGGGTCATATCTTCCTGCTCCGTGGCATGTCCAGTACTTTTAGGCTGTGTAGTGGACATTGTGGGTGATAATGTTGTTGAATATGGGTTTGATTGTCTTTTGTTAGTGTGTTTTGTTCTGACAGGCACTTAATTACTCAGATCAGTTTGATTCTCTCAAGGCTTGTTTTTAAACTTTCTTAGGGCACGTCTCAAGAAGCCCTGTTCCTTAGACGTGGTATTTTTTGGGGGTCTCAGTTTAATTCCTGGGGGTGTTCAGCAAGATCTTGAAACTCTGGCTGATCAGAACATCTGTGTCTCTAGCTCTGTGCCACCTCCAGAATCTGTTCCTTTCACAATTCCTTAGTAGTCCTGCATGCTTAGGTACAGCTCCAGTAAGCCCTAGGAGTTGTTGGTGATGTGGTGGTTGTGTGTGGTCACACTGGGAGATACTCTCCATTTTAATGGTGAGCATAACATTATGGCATAAAATGGTTGTCCCATAGTGACTGTGTATTTCACACTTTAAACAGTATCTCATCTTCTGAATCGTCTGAGGATTAAGTTTTCAGTGTGGAAACCTGGTAAGTGCCACATCCAACATTCTTAATGTAAATGGGTCCAAATCATAACTTCAAGACCAACTTTTCCAAAATATTTTTGCTATAGTTTAAAAAGAGTTACATTCATACAAATTACTGTAGACAGTAATTTGCTGTCCATCTGTCACCAAGTTAAAATATCTAAGGGTTTTTATGTTGATTACCATGTAGTTTTTTTGGCATTTTTCAAAATTATATATATGTCTATAGCATAAAATTTCAGTGTGATCCTGGTATGAGCAAGGATAACAATTACTATATTTATTCTTCCTGAATTACGGTAAGAGGAAGAATAGAAAAGGACATGCTTATTGTACTGGGCACTGTGCTGGGTGCTTTGCAAACATGAACTTGCTTCATCTCATTTTTAATAATCCTGTGAGGTGGCTGCCATATGTCTTTTATAACAAGGAGTAAAATATTCTGAACCATTTTTCCTGCCTATCCAGGAAATTATTCAAGATGACACATGTTGGAAAGTGGCAGACTTTTACTTAAAATCTACCTGTGATTGACTCCAAACCTGTATTTTTTTCTGCTGCATCTTTTTGTCTGTAATATAGCTGGATTCAAAATATGGTGGGGAAAGACGTGAGACCCTGTTTTCCATGTGTGGGTCAAGTTACTTCCCCATACAGAAAATTTGTAGAACAGATAACTGGGAGAGTGAGTCTAATTTCCCGAGAGTATTTTTGTCAAATGAAAGAATTTATTGCTTATATCTTTCTAGAAACACACCCTTGTATGCTATAAGCTTTGCCTGTGGTCTGATTGGACTGTGGCTCTTCATCTGAAGTATTAATTCAGCCAAGCAGTTTTTGTAAGACCCATAAAGAAGTCAGCTTTTCTGGCTATAAAAATTATAATATTTATTTTTCTTTTCTTAATTATTTTTCTTTTCTTTTTTTTTTTGTGAAACAGTCTCGCTCTGTCGCTCAGGCTGCAGTGCAGTGGCGTGATCTCAACTCAGTGCCATCTCTGCCTCCTGGGTTCAAGTAATTCTCCTGCTTCAGCCTCCCAAGTAGCTGAGACTGCAGGTGTGAACCACCACACCCAGCTAATTTTTAGTAGAAACGGGGTTTCCCCGTGTTGGCCAGGATGCTCTCAATCTCCTGACCTCATGATCCTCCCACCTTGGCCTCTCAAAGTGCTGGGATTACAGGCATCAGCCACCGCGCTCAGCATAAATACTTTTCTTAAACATGATTTTTAAAAGTGATCTTGGCCAGCTGCAGTGACTCACACCTGCAATCCCAGCACTTAAGGAGGCTAAGGCAGGAGGATTGCTTGAGCCAAGGAGTTTGAGACCAGTGTGGGCGACACAGTGAGACTACATCTCTACAGAGCATTTAAAAATCAGCTGAGTGTGGTGGCACATGCCTTGTAGTCCCAGCTACTCGGGGAGCTGAGGTAGGAAGATTGCTTGAGTTCAGGAGGCCAAGACTGCAGTGAGCTGTGATTGCATGCATCACTGTATTCCAGTTTGGGTGACAGAGTGAGGCCCTGTTTCAAAAAAAAAATAAAAATTAAGATCCCTTTCTTTTAAAAAAAAAATATTTGTCTTACATTATGTAGCAAAGAAAGGTTTGATGTGTAATGTTCTGAGTTTTTAAAATTTTCAAAACAAGAACAAAGGATAGTGTAACCGACACCTTTGTAGAATTCATGCCTGTTGATATTTATCATTTCTTTCATAGTTTTTTTTTCTTTTTATTTTTTAAGTAGACTTAAATTAACCTCAGCCTCCACCTTCCAGGTTCGAGTGATTCTCCTGCCTCAGCCTCCTGAGTAGCTGGGATTACAGGCATGCACCACCGTGCCTGGCTAATTTTATATTTTTAGTAGAGTCGGGGTTTCTCCACGTTGGTCAGGCTGGTCTCAGACTCCCTACGTCATGTGATCTGCCTGCCTCAGCCTCCCAAAATGCTGGGATTACAGGTGTGAGCCACCGTGCCTGGCCTAAGCCTCAACTTTCTGAGGAGGTGAAGCTACAAGTGGGTGCAAGTAAGTGGACTGTTGAGAACAGTTTTAGATTTACAGGAAAATTGAAAGATAGTACAGTAGATTCTGTACCTCCTCCCCACCGCCCACACACTCCTAGTGTTAGCCTGTCACATTTCTTTTGTTGTATTTGTCACAAGTAATGAACCAATATTGATATCTGTGATTAACTGAAGTCCATACTTCAATCAGATTTTCTTAATTTTCCCCTAATGTCCTCTTTGAGGGTCTCATTCACTACACCACATTACTTTTAATCATCACGTCTCTTTAGGCGCCTGTGGGCTATGATGTTTTCTCGGACTTTCCTTAGTTTTCAGTGACCTTGACAGTTTTCAGGAGAGCCCGTCAGATGTATTGCAGGATGCCCCTCTGTACACATTTGTCTGCTGTTTTTCTCATGGTGAGACTGGGTTTATGCGCTTCTGAAAGGAAGATCATAGCAGCCAACGGCCATTTTTACCACATCACATTGAGGGCGCATTCTGTCAGTGTGACTTACCACTATGGTTGATGCTGCCCATAGCCACCTGGCTGAAGTCGTGCCTCTCGAGTTTCTCCACTGTAACGTTTGCTTCACTCCTCCATGCCATCCTTTGTTTAAGGGTAGGAGGTTTACACTCTACCTTAATGCAGAGTATCTACATGATTTATTTGGTCTTTTTCGGTGTATAAGATCTGTCTCTTCATAGTTTTTTACTAAATGAAATCAATTTGTAAAAATCAAGGAATCTTTCACATGATACATATTCATCTTATCTTTTTTGTTGGTTTTTTTTTTAAATTAGATTGGGTCTGGTTCTGTCACCCAGGCTGGAGTGAAATGGTGTTATCTCAGCTCACTGCAGCTGCCTGCAGGGCACAAGCAGTCCTCCCGTCTCAGCCTCCCAAGTAGCTGGGACTACAGGAGTACCGCACTGTACCCAGCTGTTTTCTGGAGAGATGGGGTTTTGCCATGTTGGCCTAGGCTGGTCTCAAACTCCTGAGCTCAAGCAGTCCACCACGCTTGGCCTTATCTTGCTTTTTTAAGAACAGTATTAAAATTCATGCACATAGATTTGATTCATTTATTCTAACCTGTTCATATGACTGAATTCTTGTTATATTTTTTTTCTTTTACAGGGTTCTCTATTGTTTATGCTTTTGAGGATACACAGTGACATTTTAATGAAAACTTTGTCTCTTATAAGAGGTTTAAATGGTGTGGCTGGATCTCAGAAACAAGAAATTTGTCTTAGTAATTTAAAAAGTAAAGGCAAAGTTACTCACAGATTAGGTTTCCCTCTGGCATCTTTAATCATCTTTGATTTACTTTATAAAAAATGCATCCTTTGTTGTCGGAAGAGGACTGAGCCCGTTCCTCAGTGCTCTACTAAGGCAAGTGTCCAGAGCCCTTGAGACACTCAGGGCTAGGAATTGAATGCCAGTGACATTTCCTTGTCAGGAAGTGTAAATGCTTATCAACTGATTTAAATTCTAAGGCCTTACTTCCATAGATACACATCTGTGCAATTACTACATATTTTTGGATAAGAATGTGGCAGTGTGGTTTGTGGCTTTCAAAAAAATGGCACGTGGTCTAAAGTAATGTGATTGCAGGGATTGCTTTTTTATTTACGAAGTAAAATCTTAATGCTCTTAGCAGTGAGTCGTATTATTCATTTCATGTTTTTCTGCCAAGTAATTAAGAATGAGCTGGAAAACAAGCCAGCTGAAATCCTTCCTAGAACAAAGCAAGAGATAGATAATACTGAGAAATGCCAACTTTAGACATTGTCTTGCAATTATTGACTTTATAAATTATTGCAGTAAGGATGCTTGCCTATTTTCAGTATTGTAGAAAGTCTGTTCATTGTCTAGAGTCCTGTCTGATGTTAGAGATGTTCTGTGCTCTATTTTTAGAAAGAGATCTTAAAGGCACCTCAAGATTGCACAGTGCTTTGTGGTTTTCAGAGCATTTTCTCATGTGCTATCCCATTTAAATCAGAAACAGGAAGTTAGAGCAGTCCTGTGTGAATGGCAAATAGGCGTGTATATATCAGCGATGAATGAGCATACTGATGAGGCACAGGGAGTGATGGGGCCATAGAGAAGGGGACAGTCCAAGTAGGGGATGGAGTGTGTTTTCCCTAAAAACCTGGCACGTAGGGACATGGATGAATCTGGAGAACATCATTCTCAGCAAACTGACACAAGAACAGAAAATGAAATACCGCATGTTCTCACTCATAGGCGGGTGATGAACAATGAGAACACATGGACACAGGGAGGGGAGCACTACACACTGGGGTCTGTTGGGGGGAATAGGGGAGGGACAGTGGGGGGCGGGGAGCTGGGGAGGGTTAGCATGGGGAGAAATGCCAGATGAGGGTGAAGGGGAGAAAGGCAGCAAATCACACCGCCACGTGTGTACCTATGCAACTATCCTGCACGTTCTGCACATGTACCCCAAAACCTAAAATGCAATTTTAAAAAATTAATTAATTAAATAAAACACCTGGCACATTTTACTTAGACAGTTACTGTAGAATGGGAGGCACTGGCCTTCGTGGCAGTTGTAGTCTCCAAGAGGTCCATTGTGGTTCATCCTAGATGTGCTGAATGAGGCTCACCATATGGGCTCAGTAAGGCAAAGGTGTGTGGGGATGGGAGTGTCCAGAGGTGGGAGGCTGCCACTTTTGGCTTGAGTCCTTCGGGATTTGAGTGGAGAGATCAGAGCAGCGTTTGTTCCTGTCGATGTTACGAGTGATGTTCTTCTGAGACAGTGCTTGCCTTTTGTGACTAACCATCAGTATGAATAACCAGCTCTCTTGAGCTTTCCAGTTTCCGTGTTCATTTTAATGAACACTTTAGCTCTGTCAGTTAACCTGCAGCTGGATGGCTTCTCATCCTGCCATTTTTTTATGGACATTTTGATTATTTTATTAGAGATGGATTTTGAAACTGCAAGATCCATGGCTCTCCAGGCCCCTCTCAGAGGTGTTTCACTCCATTTCTGTTCACGATGAGGTTGCAGAGCTGCAGCTGTTACCATGTGGCTATTACCGTGTCCACCTTTGCAGGCCCAGCTCTTGATCCCCTTCTTGGCCTCCCGGTCAGGACCCCTCTCCCTCTTCAAATGCCATTTAACAGTCTATGTTGGTGACACCTGTTAACAGCACATGTCTGATTTCCTTGTGGCTTGTGTGTCTTACCTTTGGCTTGGGTGAATATGGCCCTATGTGCGTCCCTACCGCACAGTACGTTCCTCCTGCAAGACCTGAACACGCTTCGCATTTCTAGATGAGTGCTTGTGTTGCCACAGCCTTTTCAACTTCCAGTGTCCTAAAGATAAGAGCATCACTACTGAAGAGAGCCGGGGGCAAGTGGTGATATGATAGCTGCCGAGCTGTCCCCTTGCTGGAAAGGTCTGCTGCTCGAATAGGCACTGTCCGACTAGAAGTGCGCCTTGTCATGGAAACTTGGGAACTAAATGCATTCAGGTCCATTCCTCATGCTCCAGTCTCTTGCTTGCTGCTCTCCAAAGCTCAGGCCAGGTAGATGAGGATGAAGGGGCATCCCTCACTGCCTGAACTTTGAAACAAAGAGTTTAAAACAGCAGGGATCATTGTACCTTTGTGGTACCAAGAGCCAACCATGGGATTTCTGAGGAGGAAAACCATAAGCTGTTAGATTCACTCATGGCTTTTTCTGTCCTGAGGAGGTGTCAGCCTCATGGCTTTTTCTGTCCTGAGGAGGTGTCAGCCTCGTTTGTTTCTGTTTTCTTTCCTCTGTGGCCATCCCTGCAGAGAGTGCTGGTCCTGTGCTGAGGCTCGTTGAAACTGTTCTCTGGCCACGTATATAAGGCATTAGAGCAAAGCCTGACAGGTTACAGCCACATTGTAACCAGGGCGAGTTTGATTTCATTTACCACTTAGCTGTAATCTCTACGACTATCAGTTTGATTTACCTAGTTTCATTCAGTGTTTAATGACGGTTTAATTTTTTTTTTTTTTTCGAGTTTTGCACTGTTGCCTAGGCTGGAGTGCAATGGCACAGTCTTGGCTCACTTCAACCACTACCTCCCAGGTTCAAGTGATACTCCTGCCTCAGCCTCCCCAGTAGCTGGGATTATAGGCCCTCATTCCCACGCCCAGATAATTTTTTGTATTTTTGGTAGAGATGTGTTTCACTATGTTGGGTAGGATGGTCTGGAACTCCTGACCTCATGATCCACCTGCCTCAGCCTCACAAAGTGCTGGGGTTTACAGGTGTGAGCTGCTGCGTCCGGCAACAGTTTAATATTTTAAATACAGGTTGTGCAACCTGACAGGGTTGTCTCGTCATTATGGGCAGTCAGAATGTTCGAGTAAAGAACGACTTTAAAAAACTACTTTTCCTCCTACTAATAAATTAATGCTTTGTATAGAGATTTTGAGTCATATAAAGCATATTAAGAAAGAAGGTTGGGCACAGTGGCTCATGGCTGTAATCCCAGCACTTTGGGAGGCTGAGGCAGGTGGATCACAAGGTCAAGAGATTCAGACCTGGCCAACATGGTGAAATCCCATCTCTACTAAAAACACAAAAATTATCCAGGCATAGTGGTGCATGCCTGTAGTCCCAGCTGCTCGGGAGTCTGAGGCAGGAGAATTGCTTGAATCTGGGAGGCACAGGTTGCTGAGCCGAGATCATGCCACTGCACTCCAGTCTGGCGACAGAGCGAGACTCTGTCTCAAAAAAAAAAAAATATTAACAACATTTGCCTACAAGCCCTCCAGAGTAATCACTCTAAAATATTTTGGTGTTCTGTCCTCCTTGCTGTGTATAGGTGTGTGTTTTATGGCAATTATACATTTGTGTCCTTTTTTTCTTTTTGTAACTTAAAGGGCGCGTTTTCCCTGCCAGTAATCAGAGTGACCTCTGGGGTACCCGTGGTGCCTTATGTTGACCTCGCCCTCTCCCTCTTCCAGGTGCTTCCCATGCGTTCTCTCAGAACAAGGCACAGAGACAACAGCACACTGAGCCAGCTCCCCGCTCCCTCAGCGTCCTTCCCTGTTTTGTCTCCTCACTGACATCACCAATCAGGAAGAACAGCTATATTGAAGAGGATTTTACTTTGCCAATTATTACTTTTGTTAGGACTTTTTACACCTCAGCTTTTGGTAAGAGGTGGACGCACATAGTTTTGTTAACATCTGTCTTTGAGTGTGCTTTACACTTTTAGGGTTATGGCATTTAATAAGCTGAGCAAATCTTCCTTTAGCCTCTGCAGTCCTCTTGTCACTGAGGTCCAGGAGGCTTTCCATGAGGAGGTGACACAGAACCCTGAGGCATCCTTACATCGACTCCCAGGGCTCATCCCTCTAGCTGTTCTTCCTGCTCCCACAGTAGAGCTGACGGCCTGCCTGGTTTAAGAATTCATTCTGTTTTCCTGCCCCAAAGTAGCAGGGGAACACAGTCCTCTGAAATGTCAGCATTTGTTCTCCCTTAAGTTTACTAGAAATAGTAGGGCTGTCTGTCTTAAAGCCTTCTTTTGCATTCTTGGCGTCACTTTGCATCAGTGAGTGGATCGTAGATTCATGGAAAAAGGTGCTTCTCTGTCTTGCATGAGCGCTGTATGTGAAGGGTCTGGGGAAAACACCTGCTTCGTCAGGTGACTTACTGAGTCCCTCTGTCCCACTGTGCCATAGCTGGATTGCAGTGTAAATTAACTTTGTCTTTGTAAAGACTGGCTCCCCCCTTTTTTTTTTGGAGACAGTCTTGCTCTGTCATCCAGGCTTAGAGTGCAGTGGTGCAGTCGCGAATGCAACCTCTCTGTCCCGGGGTTCACGTGATTCTCCCACCTTAGCCTCCTGAGTAGCTGGGACTACAGGTGTATCCTGCCATGCCTGGCTAATTTTTGTATTTTTAGTAGAGATGGGGTTTTGCCGTGTTGGCCAGGCTGGTCTTAAACTCCTGACCTCAGGAGATCCACCCGCCTTGGCCTTCCAAAGTGCTGGGATTACAGGCATGGGCCATTGCGCTTGGCCAAGATTCAGTCTTTATAGAATAAAGTCTTTCTCATATTTTTTGTCATCTTTTCCTCTTTTCTTCTCTTTTTCCATTGCCCCTATGAAGTTGGCTTGGCTTGCCTTGAAAGGAATACTCAATCCTGAAGAGGCTACTCTTCTACCTAAAAAAAAAAAAAATTTAGGACTTAGAAGAATTAGAGGAAACAATGCGTTTAAGTTTTGTCGCCCTTTTCTTGGATCATTTTGCCTCAGATCAGCTGTTCTTTGTGTAAAACTCTCTGGGAAGTGGTGTTCAGGGTGTGGGGCTATGGAAGCCTGGTCTCTGGGGAATGGGGATGGCAGGACTTGCTCTGCGAGCTCCCCAGTCTCCTGGAAAGGCCGCTGGCCATCCACTCTGGGCCCCACAGGGAGCATTGCCGTGGTGAGGGCCTCCTCTGCAGACTCAGAGCCCTCAGTTGTCACTCACTGCTTCATCTCCCAGGAGTGCAGGCTTCTTATGAATCAAGCACTGATGGTTGGAAATCAAAAATGTCATCAGATTTTTAGAGTTAGAAAGAACTTTAAAGATCACCTAATAATAATCTAAATGCTTCCTATCTTACAGCTAAGGAAAATGAAGGGACCAAGAAGTTTGTCCCAGTTATAGGGCTGATTAGGGGCAGAAACAGGATTAGAAAGAGTTTCTCCAATGACCGTGGCCCATTATTTTTGCTTATGCATTAATGCGGACTGCACCCTGGGGAGCCAGCATCTCTTAACTGTGGGTACCTGCCAAGGTGTACCAACAGTATTAGGGTGCTGGTTTCACTGCGAGAAGTTTCTGGAGCAGTTGGGTGACTAACAGTGAGGATGCAGGCCAGTATTTCCACTCTTCTAAGTCACATCATTCTGGTCATGGCTCTGTGTGTGTGTGTGTGTGTGTGTGTGTGTGTGTGTGTACGTGTGTGTGTATGTCTATGTACAGTGGTTTAATTATGGATCACTACATTCTCAACCTCCTGGGTTCAAATAATCCTCCCAACTCAGCCTCCCAAATAGCTAATACTACAAGCATGCACCATCACACCTGGCTAATTATATTTTGTAGAGACGGGGTTCTCGCTTTGTTTCCCAGGTTAATCTCAGACCCCTGGCCCCGCCTTGGAGGATCTTATCCCAAGAAGATGAGGAATGCTTCTTGAAAGACATTATCCAAGTGAAATACAGTGAGAGTTGCTAAATACTTGTTACCAGTCTTCCAGTTAGGACTCAACCCTTCCAGGGCATATGTTCAGACCTGGGGGGTGTTCGTTTTCCTGAATTCATTCCAAGTTGGTGGTACATAAGAGTTTAATTGAGGGGGAAGGTGTGCGGCTCACCTGCCCAGGTGCTGTGGCCCCACTCTCCCGCCCCAGGTGCACCCTGGACAGCCGAGTGCTGTCTGTGGCACTGTAGTCAGTGTCGTGTTGTTTCTCCCTACTCTCTGTTTGCCAAGTTGCTGTACTGGAAGGATTCCAGGAGCAAGCGGGTGATGGCAGACAACTGAATGCAGTCATGTCTTTCCATGCAAACTGCTTTTCTTGGCTTTCTTCCAACAATGGTAGGTTGCCAAGAGAAAATGCTTTTGGCTTTACAAGTGATCTGGCCATAGTCTGGGTTAGTTCTGGTTCTTTATGTCATTGAAAACAATAAATATTTCTGGCCGTTACATTATTTAGCAAACTTTGCTCTTGACGTACGGAACTGTGTTGTTTTCTACACCTTCTATGAATTTGTGGTTTTAAGTGTATACTAGCATGTGGAGAAAGATGCTAAAAACTCCAGCTTAAAAAATATGTCAGGTTAGGCTGAAGCCACATCAAATGGAAGTTTGTTGCTGTGTCGTGGTGGCATATGAGTGATAGTTGCATCAATTTCTTTTTTCGTGGGAGTGTTCTTTCGTGTTCAGTTCTTCTATGTTTTGGTTTAAATTTCAGCCCAAGAATGTTAGGCTAGGGTATTTTGATCATATGTCATTATTGCTTGTGGTATATTTTAAGTTTCAGATAAACATCCTGAATTCATTGTTTTTAAAGCTGCAAAACAATGTAGAATGAAAACTGGAAACGCTTGTGATTCACTAGGACAATTGAAAAATAATGGCCTCTTCAGAATATTTCTACAAATAGCAAATGTACAAGATTGTTGTCGTCACGAGTGTTTCTCTGAAAATGTCTCATAATCAAATGCCAATAATTCCAGCTGGCCTTTCCCTACCATCCTTCATGTTGGAACCAATCTCCACCATCATACGTTCTCTGAAAAGCGTTCCTTTATTTCATTACTGCTTAAGTGTGGTCAGAGAGAAATTACATGTAGTGTAGAAAGATTCTTCCTAAAGCTGTCTCGCATCTCCTCACCCGTGGCACTCACTGTGCCAGCCGCTCATCTTAGTGCTTCACATATATGAACTTAATTGTCACACAACCCTTAGAGCTGGGGCTGTGGTCTCCACTTTATAGACGATAAAACCAAGGTGCAAAGAGGTTGAAGTAAATCCCTAACAAGTGGCAGAGCCACCATTCAGATATCCCCAGAGCCTACATAGTTGACCACAGTGGCATACTGCCTCTATGAGTGAAATTGTATTTTTGGCTGTGTTCCAGTTAGAAAAACTTTTTTTAAAAAAAAGCGGCATTGAGCTGCCTTTGGCCCATGGGCCTCACTTTGCCACTCTGTTTTTATAGACAGATCCCCTCTCTGTCCCAGGTACTGGTGTGGGACTGGTGAGCTTGAAGGAGACAGAGTTCCGTTAAGCAGGGTGGTGATAAGCCTCCACGCAAGGGCGAAGTCTCTAGCAGTGGCTTTGGGGAGCTTCTGCTGAGTTCTCAGGCTGATTTGGTGTGTCCCTGCGCTTTTGGGGGACCCTTTCCTCATCTTTGAAGTGGTAGATTTTAACTAGATAGTCTTACCTCTCCACTTGTCTTTGCATAGCGTGTTACTGAACATTATTTATTATTTTGGTTCCTTTTCTGGTATGTTTCTGATCAGAATCAGTGACCCCACCCCCACCCCTGCCCCAAAGCCCGCTTGCTGAGTGCTCTGCTGTGTAGTGTGGCTTGAGACTTGTCTTGAGATGTGAGGAAAACTGCTGAAGTAGTCAGCTGCTCCAAGAACAGCCTGAGTGTGCTCCTGTTTTTGCAGCAGCTGAGTAAACGGTGGCTCACACCTGTAATCCCAGCACTTTGGGAGGCCGAGGCAGGCAGATCACTTGAGCTCGGGAGTTTGAGACCAGCCTGGCCAACATGGTGAAACCTTGTCTCTATTAAAAATACAAAAATTAACCAGGCATAGTGGCACGCACTGTAATCCCAGCTACTCAGGAGGCTGAGGCGGGAAAATTGCTTGAACCAGGGAGGCAGGGGTTGCAGTGAGCTAGGAGCACTACAGTCTAGCCTGGGGGATAGAGTGAGACTCCGTCTAAAAAAAAAAAAAAAGAACCCAAACATCAAACTCAGCACTTGTTGCCACTGAGAATTTCTGACGGCCTGGTCGACTCTAGGTCAAGTCCTGTGTGCCAGTGCATTTCTGGCCATCCTCCTCCCCCCACAACCCCTCATTGATCACTTGGTGGCCCTGTCAGGTATGTAGCTCATAAGTGGGTATGGGCAACCCCTTCTTGTGAGTGTGCACTTCCAAAGGACATTTGGCGATGAAAACTGGGGGAGTGGTTGTTTTTATGAGTGATTGATATCTCTGGAATTGGACTATTACTTGAAAAGACTCC